ATGTTGAATTAGCTCTGTCTCCAAATCTTAAAATCATAGTATTATATATATCGACGAAATCAAGATGCCATTTCTCTTTCATATAGCGGATTACCTTCTTGCTCGGGCCCAATGTTTGTTCAAGATCAGAAACTCTCGAAAGTCCAGTGATGTTATAAATATTAATTGTCGACCCATTCTAATTGACCAAAGCCATTCGTATAAGCCATATCTGAATTATTAGAAAGAAGCTAATAATTCTAAATAAATAACGAAATAATTACTAGTAATTACAATAGCGTACCATCACCTGCGTCATTTGCTATTACTGGTTTAAAATGTCTCTTTATGTTTATGACTAAGGTTTTATGACTGGCCATCGTTAGTTTCAGAGAGTTCTCCCGATTTCCTAAGTTTCCAGTTTAAAGAAAAATTAGAGCGTTTATCGTTTTCTTGAAGCCATTGTCGAACATTTCGCATAGCTCATTGTACCACGTAGATATTGTGAGGGTCCTAACTTAAGCTAATTTGCGTTGATAGAGCTTTCTGTCTTTGATTCGAACCGATAGCCGAGTTTTTATTTAGACCTAGAAGATGCGGAAACATATTGTTTCGTCTTGTCATTTACAAACAACTGCGACTGGAATCAGCAATAAACATCCAGAAATACCCTAAACAATACATTTCTACTGTCGTAAAACTATCAGACAGACGGCAAGACCTAAGTTTATGTGTTTGCACTTGGAAAAACGCGTATGTATATTTTCAACCTGTGTAAATAAAGCATTGATTGCATACTTTAGGAAAAATTGGTCGGCAACAACATAACGTTTTCCCGTCATTTTTTTTCGCTGACTCAAAACGAATATGTTATATAATGTCCTGTTTCATATGAAATGATGCCGGTAGAATATAACTTGAAATACGTTATATTCAATACTGGACAAAAAGCGCCCAATTAAAAAATGGACGAGAAAAAAGTGAACAAAGGGGCCTACGAGTGTGAAATAAGTAGCCTCCATGTCTTATCGAGCATCTGTTTGCGGTGATTCGTTGCACTAAATCCATTAAATTTCGACGAACTTTTACTCAGCTGTGGTCTGAATTTAAGTCGGCACTGTTTATTGTCTACGATGTTGGCCGCGTAATTAATGAGCGAGTCCTTTGGAAGTGTTCTGAGCAAGTGTGAAACACCTTGGAACCAACATGCCGCTCCAGGCCGACCGTTTGAGCCTATTACATGTAATATTACGGGACAAAGTGTAACTATATTGAAGCTGGTTAGCTACAACTGGGGCGTTAGGTTAGACGGTATTAATTAAGTAGTTATATACGGACGGGCTGGTCTTTTAAATTTGCATCGTGCACGCCTAGCAGCTACTACTAGTTGTAAATCTATTGGAAATGTACAAATAGAAATGGAAACGTATGATGTCCCCTCCTGTGTTAATCCACCTAGACAGACTATACGCATGATTGTAAATCTTCAGTGGCCACAAGACACAGTTAATTGGAAATGAATTTTCTTTATCCTGTCACATCTGTACTGCGAAATGTAAGCGACCTTTGAAGTCGGTTAAATGTCGCAGTCCTCATGAAACCGCTACTGAGCGGAGATTGCCTGCGCAGTTTCACACGGAAAATGTGGAAAGCGTCAACCGACACAAAACCCGATGGATAACAGGAAGTAAGGGCAAATCTGTGTAAAAAGCTGAAAGCTAGAGAAACTGAAAGTTCCATACGACGGCAGTGCCTTCACTCGCCACCGGGTTATAAAAGCTTAGAGGGGTAATTTCACCCTCAGTTTTGCAAAATAGGTCTAATTTCAGTGCACATGCCTAGCGCGGCAAGGCTGCGCGAACGGCCACGAAGACGGGAGAATGTGTGGTGACGAGTGATGGCCCAGTGGCCTGTAGCAGATTCACTAATCTAGCAGCAATAGCTCCTAGTGGTTATTCGGTAGTACAGGTGGGATAACGTAATTACATACGGTGGCCTTCACAAGCTCACTGTGTCAATCGCGATCACCAAGCAATCTATGTTATTTGCTTTATGTTCTGGTCGAATCACCTCAAATCATGAATTTCTATCCATTTTTTGTCAATCTGTGCAGCAGTATAATTTCTAACTGAATAAAGTCGCTAGCTCAGAAGGATTATCTCCATGATGTGATTACATGTAAGACAGCGCGCTACCTCTGCAGCTTGCTTCTGCCATTGTCGCTGAATTGGCTGAGCTATGGTAAGTTACTGGAGTAAGTGTATGGCCTCTTATTCTGGTTACATGCAAATTTATTCACCAACGACCGATATTAGCCCAATATTTAAGCGTACATCTATGTGTGTGATATAGAGTGCTGTTCAGATCCTGACCAGACTTCAGCTATAGGTCTTCGCACGTTGATGGCGTTTCGCTTCGGCATGCTCTCTGTACCCAGTAAGCAACTTCCAGGAGCAACGATGGCAGTTCCGGAAGGCGACAGCCACGATACGAGTTTCGGTTGCTACAGGGATTAGCCGATTAAAGAAGACGAGGCGAGGGGACCTCCCGGATGGAAATTCGCTTCTTCAGACATAAATACAGGATTTGACAGAGAGTACCTTATGATGATACGAGAGAGGAAAGCACAGCTTTTCAGTTATCTCAGCAGAGCCCCACTGCACTCATTGAGGATGTTTGAGCACACAGCTTCCTCATGGAATCGGATGTATACACTGCACCACTATTGTTCATCGTCGTGTCTGTATTCATCACGGACCGTTCTGTTTCAGTTTAATGTCTTCGGAAGAACAAACAAACAAACAAACAAACAGATTTATAAATTAATGGTATCTTTAAGCTCCGCTCGCTCGACGCTAAAGTTGAAGTTCTTATGAAATTTTTTAAAAGAGAACGAGAAGTGTAAGCCCAATTGCTTTACTATTTTCTTATGTATACATATTTATCTGAAAGATTTAACATCGTACTTCTTTACGACGAATCTATAATACTTGTATTTAATTACTGTTTGAATAGGGTGTACTGTTGTAATGTGTGTCTTGAGTTGCTGAGCAGACGGGCGCATCACCATGCTGTGCATACTTTTCATAAGTTATAGTCTAACCAGAGGCATTACTGTGTTGTCGTAGAGACACAACCGTAGGCTTACTTCCTATAAATAAGAATTTAGCTTTGTATAAAGTTCGTGCTCCTACAAGGGACGCTGGGAAGACACGAAACGATTTTGTATCTTCTGACGGATTTTTAGAATCGCTATACTAATACCTCTGCTGCTGATTAATCTAGACTCAAGTACCGTACCTAACGCTTCGCTTAATAAAATATATTTTACTCCTTGACCCTTAGGACATAAATGAGCCGTGCAATCTTCCGTCATCTATTAAATACGTAAATTTTTAAAAATGCACATTAGAAAATTCGCTTCGAATCTTTTTCATACACCTTCAATAGATTTTTCCTAACAGATATAAGACGTTCGTTAAAGCAGAACAAATGCGCTTGTCATAAATTTCAGCTCTTCGTTCAATATGGCTTTGTTTATAGTACCTTTCTTAACGAGCACCGATCTATCATATAATGCCGCTGGAAGCAAATTGGACGCGATGGTTATTAAGAGCAGAATCCTATTAACAACCTAATAGAAAAACATTCGTGCGCATACGTACATACATACGGCGTGCGCTACAACAATGTCACACTAAGACGCTGACGAATCTGTATCAATTTTACTAGATGGGACATTTAGATTCTTGTTACCTTAGTGCATGCATCTATATTATAAATGAGTCAATTTTCATGAAATGAATTTACCAAGCTTGTTGTGGAATACGGAGCGCGGGACAGCTTTTTCCCCGAATTTTACGAGGCTGGATACCAGGATCACTGCACGCTCTCGTTCATGATAAATATTTTGCGATCCAATTTGCATATGATGCTCTATATGACGAAGGATAGGAATGCTAATAGTATAATATTATACGTTCCATAGGAGAGGTTTGCCTCTCGTTGGTTAGCTCTTTCGACTCGTAGTTACTAGCGTATGATTATGTCATACGACGTATAATGTTTACGTTATTTATTTCGGTAATTCGGATACTGTTATGCTATCTGCATACAAAGATCTAGTCTAGCATTAATTATTCAGGTATAATAACATCTAAACAGCAAAGTCTAAATTTGATAATCCTCCGTTCTGCATGATTCCTTAGGTCATCTTCGAGTCCCAGTAAATTTTTACACCTGCAACACCAGTTATGTCGAATGGGTAGTCCATTGAAAATATTGTACACTCTGTCTTTGGCATGCTGGGTCCAAAACATCGAAAAAAACACATTGCAGCTGACTCAGTGTAAGTTGACAGGAGTTTCAATAGATCCGAAGGTGCGATCACGACTGATACCGATAATTAATGCTCACTAAATTACTTGACAAGCGTAAGTGCCTAACATAGGTGCAGGATCATTAAAATCGGGCATTAGAAAATGAAATATACACGTTCTTATCATATACCTCATGTACCCCGCTAGGAAGTGTAACGGCCTTCTCCCGTTGTTGCTTGTTCGCATGTATTTCGGTCTTTTAGCGAGCCCGAGCTTGAAGGGCGATAAGACGATCCTCTGCCGTTACTAAATTATACAGCGCAGTTGGCATACAAATAGAACAGAGTTAGCAGTAAAGAGATCTTTTTTTAGATAAATCTCCAGAGAAGGATAGGAACACGGGGTTGACGCTAGTCAGCCATATATATATATATATATATATAGTGAAAGCGGACATGGCGCAATCGTCAACTGCAGCGGGAAATCTTTAGCCTACCTAACATCGCCAAGCCTTGTGGCAATTGCTAAAACTAGAACAGCAATGATTTGCGTGACTCAGCAAGTTGCAGCCATGCAGTATACAGCCTATACCGATTATAGTGAAGTTAAGAGTAAATTTGGCTTCATGTGTAGCCAGAAATATCTAGCTGTTGATTTTGCTAAAGTCGCGCATTGACGTTACCTCTTATTTACGTATTTCAGGAGTGCCCATCGGGGATGGTGAAGGAAGATACCTTTAAGATGATCTACTCACAATTTTTCCCGAGAGGAGCGGACGCCTCTCAGTATGCTCATTTCGTATTTAACACCTTCGACCAGGACAACACCGGAGCTATCACATTTACAGTAAGACGTCTAGTACATGTACTTCGAAGATCTCTATCCGGATCGCCTACCGACATACGAATCAAATGCTATCACATTGTAATTTGCTACCCACAGCAAAGAAACTTTGCATGGTTATATTATTTTGATAAGGTATCCTCGTATCTCTCGTTTCTTCAATTCTAAAATTTACGAGCCATTATTTTTAGTGCTGCAGGGCGCCCTGCGAAGGTAGACTCTGCTGGGGTTGTGTGAAAATCGTACGCCGTAGGAATCGGTCAAATATCCCCTTGGTTAAGAGCGGTTAGCATTCGTAGCACATCTCATTGCGGGGCTTGTAAGAGTATAATATTTTGTTTGGTCATCATCCTTGATTTCGTTAGCCTTCAACCAGAGAGCCAACATGTGCTAAGCAATTGGCGCGTAATTTACAGATAAACGTGTGTGCATAACGAGATCTTACAATATCCTCAAAAACAAGACCGTCGAGTGGCAGTCGAGAATGTACAACGACTGATGGCAACTCAAGCTTGTTGTCATTTGGGAAATGTCGTCATTTTGTCTTGATTTATAACAACAGGGAAAGGCCTATCGTATATAGTTTAAGCAAACACAATACAGAGATGACCTCTTATACAGCAGAAAAGTGCGCTCTGAATGCTCCCTTCTCCATTGAATTCACCTCCTCTTTATCAAGAAGGGATGAAGAGATAGTTTCTATATGTTCAGACAATAAAATTATTAAGCTGACACTGATAATTTACCTTAAAAGATTTATTGCTTGCGAACATATAACAGTAGTCCTCGTCGGCTTCGTAATGTACGTATAGTATGCATCCGTAATGCGCATCCGTGGGCAATCTTTTTTACATAGGCAAACATTTGTGTGCGCATGTTCGCGGATGAGGGCTGGCATGGGTGGAATTGGCGTCGTTGTCTGATAAGAGCGGTCTGCATATTTTAAAATCGTTACTTTGCCGGCATTTCTAACGGCCTCCCTACTTGACAGGGAGATCATGAGAGCGGACTTCGTGGACCTATCTGGCCAGCGTTATCATGACCGGTGGGCGACGCCGGCCAATGATGCGACTTCTTCTCCGACTTCTTTCCCGACTCCGTCGCCGCCACTGCCGACGCTGTTATTTTCCCCTTTAGCTCCCTTCACCCCTCGTTGTCTGATCCTGTTCGCGACCCAACAACCTTAAACAGAGCCAACGAAAGAAAAGGATGTATAAATACCACCAGCCGAGACAGGGCGGGTGCTACCTCTTCGCTAACGACCTGTGAATTCTGCCGAAAGACTAGCTCAGCCTAAACGACTGGGCCCAATCAGGCTATCACACGTCAGCTGAACCCCTGAAGGGATAAACGGATTACCATCACATAACCCATGAGCACGCCAACAGCAGGAGCGGTACCGCCAGAACGACAACGACGGCGACGGCAACAACAGGAATGAAGGCCATGACAGCATGATAACAGCTGCAGGTGGCGCTTACCCTCTTCCGTCTATTTGCCGCTTTCTCAGTGCTTTGACTTGGTCACAGAGGGAAGAACGGACGGCCAGATGAACGGGCGGACCCCGGCAAGGAGCATTCTCATTTAGACATATACCCTCCGTCCTTGCGTGTGATGATGAAAATCGCAGGACAAGCAAATATGGTGACTACCTGCAGATATAGGTACATACATGCATAGTATGTACAGAACAGGCCACAACTAAGCATTACTATTACATAAAACCAACAATACTGCAAGCGGGTCTAGGTAATAAAAGATTGTGGAATGAAGCTAGGACGTAATGTGGATTAAGAGGGGACATTACCTGCTGTATGATTCGATAACCGTATGCTTTTATCAAGTGTACACATACAATCTGTGCACAATGTAAGCCTAAGCTTAAGCTATTAAGCATTTATTAGTAAGAATGTTTGAAAAGTCTTCACGATAAAGGCTATTATTCTGCGATCGTTTGTGAATTTTCTGCGGCATTCAATAGTACAGGTACAGAGTTGTCCTAAGGACTCTACCTTCCTGGCTGAGCGTCCTGGTTCTAAAAGGGGTGAAACTTCGGTTACGGCACCTTCTAGATTCGCGAGTTAGTGTAAAATAACTTAAGGTGAGAAATCTCTCTCTACTATGACTCCCCTCTCGATTCCTGAATAAACTGACCGACATGAAGAAGAGAGCTCAGGGGAGAGTCTTTGGATAAAAACCTGGCTGTCAACTCATATGAGAACACTCAAGAAAAACTAGTTCCAGCACTTCGGTGCACAGACTGAAGTGATGAAAAATAGCTTATTTTCAAATGCTGCCGTAGACAATTCGGATTTACGATTCTGAATGCAATAATTTTCTGTGTTAAATTTAATAATCTACTATTTTGGTAAGTGTAATTTTCCAAAAAGGATAAACTTTCTATCGAACATAAGTACTAATATTGTTAACATTCATATTTATGAAAATTTTAGCTTTCTTCTGAAATGTACATTCACATCATTACGCCCTGCATGTTTTAGAAAATCTAGCTTAGTTCCTTCCAACTGAAGGTTTTTAATACGAAAACTGTTACTTCTGTGAGTTATAAGCTATATTCAATGAAACGAGGTAGTTGTCAGCCGATTCTCAACAGATGTTTAAAGCAAACGCACTACAACACCCGAAAGAAAACGCTTGAGAAATCTTGGAGAACGAGATGCTTCGTATAGTCACGGGAGAAAGGCAGAAGAGTCCTAGAGGGCGCCATTGTTTTGAAGCCTGCTGAAATGACAGCATGGCCTGATCCAGAGGAAATACATAAGCAGTCCGTATTAAATTAGAAATACGGCACGATAATGTTCTCCGTACTACGACGCTGAATGCTCGGCCCAGTCACAATTTCACCACGGGCGTTTCAATTGCGTTATTATATATTAGCTCTTTTGTGAATGCAATTATACTTTTTTTTTTGTAACACCAGACGTACATCTATTATATTGTCCTAACCGGACAATTAAGTCCTTAGACATGCTTGGGTTACTTTTTGCAACGGAATCGACATAGTTGAGTTTCAAACCTTCGGCTTTTCTGCGAGATACAAAGCCTTGGATTAGTAAGTGCGTTGGGACCATGCCTCAGATTATAGCCAATTTGAGTAATGGCTAATTATGTACGGTTTGCATTATGTGTCAACAGGGCCTCATATAGATATAGGTCCTCTTAAACAACAAAAGTGTCTTAATGCCAGAAGCCGTTTTATTTAATACTCGTGCTGTGGCGTAAGTGTTATGGTAGTCATGAAAAGTTCATATATTTCTTTGGCTAGGTAGAATACTTAGAGTTGCATTTGTAAGGTCCATGCTTGGTATAACTTAATAGTGATAACTTATTAAGACTCGAAACACTCAATACGCTAGAATATTGCGAACTGAGTTGTATCTTTTGGGTCATTTTGATCGAATTCATTCCTCTTCTTATATTGTTGTATATGGCTAGCCGGCACTGGAATATTTAAACATGTATGCGCTATTTTTTTACATACAGGATAATTGTAGGTACAAAGTCGAAGTCTGCAAACAAAAAGAGTAGAGAGTCTTCGTGGTATGCGCAGGTGCATACGTATATCATTGCTGAATAACGGGTGGTCAATGCTATACCTCTAGTCAGATAGTATTGAGCTATCATGATACTTATCTGGCGACGGGCATAGTCACGAAACATAAAAAATCTTTTTAGCCACTTTCACTCGTTTCATTTAAAAATTCTTCATAGAGCCATACAATCGTAGCGTAAACTTGCTGAAGCTCATTTCTTAATTCTCGTTCAACAAAAATCAACAAGAAATTTTTTTGTTGCTTTATAATGCCCTTATTTACATGTCCGACAGGTGCGTGACAAAAAAAACACACTTGTTCATTTACTCTGCTTTAAAAATCCCTTAAAATAGAATAAGCCATGGTGCATGAGCAAATGAGATCGACTGCAACATGGTGCGTGCTGTTTTCCATTGTGTTGTGCTACCTTTAGGCCATAATCGCTACATGGGGTTTATAGTCAAATAATACGTTGTTGATTAACAAGAGCTCGACGGCGGCACAAGAAAATCTACGCAATACACGTAGGGAAGATGTGGAGCAGACTTATTAAGAAGCTTGAATGCAATTTAGTTTGCCTAAAAATAGAAGGCACGACAAAAGGGTTTCTTATAGTTACTAGTTAAGTACTACAACTCGACGACGCTTCAGCCCGTATGAGTTGCAGGCCATATACTCTTTTCTTTTAAATTTACCAAACCTGCACTCAAACATCCGACCCATTATCGGATAGCTATGATAGTAGTATATATGACAAAGGAAATCCTCTTTATTTGAACGACTTCATCTTTATTGCCAGACCTTAGTATCTATATATAATGTATACCGATGAACTTGCCTTAGCTTTGCCTGAAGACCTCTTACCATTCACTAAATATCGTTCTTTTATTTATCGCCTTCTTAGAGCACCGGCCTACGGGCCACAGCCCATTATAGGTTTATGCACGCGTACCAAAATACATGGGCCACTGACGTGTGTAACCTGCGCCGCTGCCGGCTTTTGATAACGGTAGTACGTAGCACGTAGTGGTTGGCGAGCACGTAAGATCTATACACAAAGCGCTCTATACTGCAACCTAGATGAATTAGTGCTCGGCATATATAATAATAGTAATAATCGAAAAATAACTGCGAGGATTTGCTAACATTATTACCGTTGATGTTTCCTTATTGCCGAAATCGATCGTGCGGGATGATATTTTCCCTTTATGTAATTAGCGAGATGCCTAAGCCCAGGGGCCTGAAAAAAGGATCAACGATACCTAATACGGTTTGTTTTTAATTCTGTTTGGCCTCATACGATTGTCGAACAGTGTGCGTTCCAGTTGTCGTGACCAAAGCTGCGGCTTTTTCATAATTATTGAAGATAGCCATTATCTATCTATGATCCGCACAACAAGTGTGTATAGCGGATAAAATTAAACAAATATAAACTAAAGGAATGCAACAAATGTATTTTTCAAAATTTTCCAGTAGTGCTAAATGATCTAACGCGTTGGCCAATCGTACATAAGAACTACCTACTGGCCCAAAAAATAGTTCAGATACATTATAATGCATTTCAAGTACTTAGTACGAAGTGTAAAGTCATATAATTGAAATGAGTGTATATATTCCATCTCGCTTTTCCACCGTTACAACGGAAACAGAATTTGTGACTCTTGCCACTCTGCAGACATGTAGAAAGCGGGGTAACAGGAAATCGAATAGAGCTGAGCACTTGACATATGCTTACTTTCTAAAAACAAGGTAAGGGGCAATTATTTTAGCGTCAGAGACACGCTCGCCTGAGGAGCTAGTCGGAGTGATTTCTGCTGGGCTTATCTGTAGACTCACCTGCTGCTCGAGTGCGGTTTATGATCTTCGTATTTTCTATAAGGGAAGTTTTAAACAGTTTTGAACAAAGGATAAAGTTGGATCCGCTCACTTGACCGCTGACGGTAACGTTCGTTGTAGTTTGTTGAGCTTTTCTTAGACTTGTCACAGCGGCAAAAGAAGCTTCCCAGAGAAGATTCGTAGGTTGGTCGAACTTCCTGTTATACACTTCCTGTTGACGACATGGTTTTCGCTTTACCAAGACTCTTGAAAAAATAGGTCGCGACGTGACAGAATGATCTCGCTCCCCTATTGGTTACGGTACATTGTGCAGGCAATAGCGATGCTCGGGCAACGCGTCCCAGCTTTGCACCTGGAGAGCGTATAGACCGCGTTGTGTGGACTCGCGTGCCGTTGATCATGTACCAACCAATATCCGGCGAATGAGAAACGTATCGTTATGTTTATAACTCGGATGCGCAATACGTTTATTCAGATTTACAACTATTTGTGTGTCATTACGAAAATAACGATGGTAATGCTGCTATTGGGATGACGCAAGAAAGTTACCTCCTATATGCCAATACTTGACGAATCAGAATCACTGACAGATTGCAAAATTTCCCCACTTACTTCAACCAGTGTAGATTTGGTCAAGCGCAATGGCGTTGATCATGAACAATAGATACATATACAAATGTTCGTAGAACGGAGAGTATCGGATACCGAACGTGATATGGCAATGTTTCTTCAACTTCAAACCATTCAGCAGAATTTTACCATGATAATAATAATAATATATGCAGTTGCCCTTGATGCGTGCACGGTGTTGTGAAGGGATCATTTTTGTACGTTCGCACTACTAAGCAACTATCAATACATCTTACTTAACGAACGACTGAAGAAATTTTTAAAGGCTTAAGTTTCCCACAAATTGCATAGACTTATGTGACTCGTTAAGAAATGCTATCGTTTAAATCTATGCTATACACCACTCTGTTAATTTGTATACTACGTGAAAAAATACAATAATATTTTTGTTTGGTCCTTGCGCAAAATAGGCACACTAACGTTACTATTCCTACTTCCAGGATTTTGTAATTGGACTGTCTGTTTTATCGCGTGGTTCGCTTCAAGAGAAACTTCGCTGGACATTCAACTTATACGATATTAACGGAGATGGGTAAGTGGCCACTAAATATACACAGAATTCAAGTTATATATATATCGTGGATTATGATGCCCGCGTCGTGTGTTACGTTGAGCCAATGTATGCATGTGTGGTGTCCTTCTTTGCCACGGGCTGGTAAAATATAGAAGTACAAGCTATTATTTGTACCGACCAAATTCTACGTTTCTCCAATTATCGGTACTTCAACGTTGTAACGTTCCTGCGTAACGGCTCCTGCGTTTCGAAGCAAGCGTCTTGACGCAGAGAGCGTATTATACGATACATAATTATTGTATTATATTATGAATTTAAGCCAGAATTTAACTGATCTCTGTAGTTGTTTCGTATGCACATTTAGTAAACTGGGGCCAGATCAAACGGCACGGGCCATTTTCTCAACCCGTAGACATTCCCTTAGCACTAACTGATAGTGCGCGGTTTCCACGACTTCAAATGCGGACAAGCGGGTTATCAAGTGTCGCAGCATCGCCTTCGGGTACTACAATGCCGACATGACTGGACATCACCACTTGGGCCCGTCTCACCGCGACAACTGTAGGACCCACCCACGAACGATGCGCTTTCTTTCGGAACAGCGAAAAACGTTCCCTCTGTAGGGTGCGTGTCCGGAACCGGACTTTTTGGCATAGAATCTCGGATCTTTCGGACGAATTCCGTGTTAGAATTGACCTTAGCCACTGTGCTGAGATTTACTAGAGTAGCTAATTTTGCAGTTCGCTTGAAACACGCTAAATTCAAGCTTAAACGCCATATTAATAAACAGTATGCATTTACTACCGCATATAAACCGTTGGAACGCCTTCTTTTTTCTCCAGTAGTAGCAAAAAATGTCACTTGAAAACTTCTATGTCTTTGGCCCATGTAGACCCACAAGGTGGAGTCATATATACCGTAGGTAAGTTTATATAGACGATCAATGATTTCGTGCCACGAACGCAGACGTTTAACAAAAGTAAAGGGAAAATGCTTGTCTTTCTACAAACCCCATGCTTTCCTGCTAGGTTATATAGTATTTTATATACGTAGTATAGTATATTTATGTATCATAGGTCAATGTGACGTACAGCTGCGCGCTGTCGTTTTGGTGACCTAGATACTGGCACGTCTAAGAGCTGAATTTTATCCGAGAAGAAAGAGGGAACAGTAACTATGAGCGTCCATTCTTCAAAACCAACTTAACGCAACTGAAGTATATATGTATATTAAGTGGATATGCATGATTACAGTATAAATAATCTACTAGTATCTGCAATGTGGTGCATCCGTCGTCAGTATTTTTTTGTCCGAGCGATACGTTATGCCAATAAACCCGTTAACCTATACCATTCAAATACAATGATTCTAGCTTAACCCGACATACATACATTCCTATATAAGCGTTTCCACTAAGCTGAATTGTGCCTTGAGGCCACGCAGTTCGTTAATCTCTGTAAAATTCCGCTTTTGGCTCCGACATTCGATAGGCCCATATAGGCTCTCAGGATGATCATGTAACATACCGTAACGAAATGATTTTTATAAAACATAATTTGCTCTCTGTTTGTTTTTGAAATTGCAACTCTGGGATAAGCGAGACTGTAGTAAAAAAAAAGAAGCGCTACTTATTTGCTTTCTTTACCATTTAACAACCGTTATGACATGCTTAGCTGTCGACCCTCTCTCTCTCTCTCTCTCTCTCTCTCTCTCTCGATATATATATATATATATATATATATAAGGTCTCCAGGAATGAAAGCCTGCTACCTACCAACTAAAAAATCAACTATAAAATGCGACTCTTTCAGATGGCAAACATTTTGTGACAATTGTGAATTACTTCAGTGTAGGTTTTATTTAACCTCTACCATGTCTTTCCTTTTCGAGTAGAGTTTGTCAGAGCTTATACCATTATACATTATGAACCGCCAACGAAACCTGACTCTACCATAGCCGACAGTAGACGGAAGCCCCGAGAGCTCGAAAAAGCCCACCACAGACTGTGTCAGTAGTAACAGTGGCGCCGATAGTCTGGAGGCCTGAATGAAACTTGTCCAAGACTGACTGGTAGCAAGGCACAGAGACTGAAAAGAGAGATGTAGAATACACAACGGGCGGAGAGACACGGCTGCGCTGGGACCAAGGCCACGTTACAGAAACAGTCTACGCTAATTGTTAACATTTAAACCCCGATTTCTCCCCTTTTTTGCGCTCACTCTTCAAGACGTCACGTCACGACTGCATATTCCTGATAATTGGACTTTTATAAGCAACAATCCTATGGAAAATGATTAAAATTGGCATGCCATAAAAAGGCTAGCTAGGTAAGAGTTTCAGCCTTCAGTACTCGGGTGAAGCTCTTTGTATCTGCTTGAACAATTTAGCTTTGATGAACCTTATTAGCGTTCGCAGTGGTTAACTGTATTTCGTGAAAGTAATTGTTCTCTCGATTACGGTTCAAAGTTTTAATATTCTAAAACGTCTTCGGTTAAGAAACTTTAACCAATATTGCTTGATAAAGGTTAGGTCCAATTTTTTATTTGAGTGCTTTTTTCCTGCCTGACAACACTTGCCAGTTCAGACAACTTAAACCGCGCAGGAAACCGTCTTCCAGTTGGGCTGAGAAGGTTCCTTCATGCGTATTTGTCAGTCTTGCTTCTTTCACATTGCCGCTTACTTAGGTGGATTAAAAATCTGTTGCTCAGAAAATTACTTCCGGCCGTCGAAAAAATAAAAAGAAATAGGTCTCTGACTGTTTTGACTGAAAAAACTGAAAATTGAACGACAAGGAAATCTGATAGGTGGTGGGAGACCATAGATTATGATCAAAATTACTTAGACGAATTAGGATCCCGGACTGTTTTAAAAAATAAGTTTAAAAATACTTAAAATAGCCCAAGATATGTTTATAACATATACATAGAATGGCCTTTTGGGTAAATCTTATCGGGCTGTTGGTTGTAGCTAGAATTTGCGAATGTGCTACCATTGGTGCTAGAGGAAAGCCAGTTCTTTCTAAAACGAAGCTACAAACTCGCTATGACTGGAGAAGAGGGTTCGTCTTCCGAACGTGAGCGAAGAGCAACTATTATCAAAGACAAATTTCATCCTAATATGGAAGCCATTATGTGGCGTGAAAGATATAGGCGCGCAACACATTAAACGGCCGTATTATCAATTAGTATACTCAGAAAAATAAAATGCGTTCTCTAACAAATAATTCTCTTCTTAAATTCAGCCTAATTTTCTTTATATTTGGGTTCAAATTAGGATAATTTTGCTTTTATACAGTGCTTAGACTGAGGAATCAGCGTTACTGCAGATCTTCTTCAAAAAAGATAATGATAGGAACGCTTGCGTTTTGATGGGTCAGTAGCTAATCCTAATGACGGCATTGGGGGTAGCTTGTTTGTCTGCTAAATTTAAAGGACACGTGACGATCTGGATATTAGTCCCAGTGTGGACACATATCCTTTCGTGCTGGAAAGCAGTCGTCTGATAGGATGCGTACCGGCAGTAGAACTCGGAACATTTCACTTCAGGCCATAGCTAAGGCCAAGTAGTAACTTGGGCCGAGACAAATATCAGTTGCCTGAGGATTCAAAACGAATGATACCATGTTCCATAGTAGGTAACACAAATACCATAGACATTGTAGACGTACTACGGGTGTTTGTTTTTTCACGTATAGCTGAATGACCCTAATGCGCATACACTCAAAAATCAAATGATTTCCTGATTAAATCCCGACCGCATTCTCACAGAGACAACTGTTTACATCGGAATCAGTTACTCAGAAGGGCTAAGTAGCACGCTTTACCATATGTGGCAACTCTTCTCCTTATGATTCCCGTTTATAACAGCTCTCAATCAAGAAAGCAGTCGCAGCAATCGAAATTCCTTAATGACTTAAACGACTATGGCTCGACGTTTTCAGCAAACGAGCTACACTTGATATCTATACTTCCATTATGTCTGAAATGTCTTGGCTATGCTGACGCCTATTTGCCTACACAGACAGAGAGATCGATTGAAACTAAATGCTTATACAGGTCTCGTGCAAAGCGTTATTAGCATGTTCTGAAACAAGGAGTTAGCTACACATTCTTCGCAGTCCATCAAGCCAGACACTGCGCACAAGAGACGGGGATCCTTGTAAGGGATGGGGGAGGACGACAAGTAGTGGGAAAAAAGACGTTAAAGGGTTGATGGTTTTCCTGATCTAATGCATAATAATATGAATACAACAAGTAGAACATCGATAAGCCGAGATAAGCCAGTGTGTATGTAAACGAGTGGAAGGTTCAAGATAGCGGTGTCACTTTTGCTATCGCTGTTGCTCGTATTGGCTACTCGTTTCTGTATTTTGTAAACGGCAAAGAACACACAAACGCTTTATCAACCTTACATGCAAAATACGTCGCAGAGCTTTTTTAGAGAAGTACGGCAAACGGTGAACTAGGAAGGCGAAGATAGCTAATTTCTCTAACGAAAGAATAGATAATATAGATGAGATCGAAACAAGCTGCTCTCAACAACTGAAAAATAAGCAATGTGGGAAAATAAAAAATTTAAACGCTAATTTGACTTTATCGAACAGAGAGTTCTACAAATTTCAATGAGCTGATGTTACATTCAAACAAGCTGATATAGCCGTAAGATCACTGAAAAATAATAATGCAATCTAACAGTTCCTTCGTGACATTCGTGTCAAACATATAGTTATTTCGCTGGCATTATCGAGAAGATATTAGCTGGTACGAGTTGGAGGAGAAAAGGCTGTGAGTGTTACATTCGGTAGCCAGTACTCCATTAAGCATTGCGTTAAACGGCCGGCATTTAACATAAACCTTCAATTTGAAAAGCGAGTTTTTTTTTACCAACGCATCGATGTGGGGGACTCTGTTTCGAAATCCAAAACTTCTAAAAAAGCATAATATCTTTGAAAAAAATAACAGAACTACTAGAAAAATGTATGTTTTCTGATGAGATATTTATGATCAACATGAATTGTGCCCCATGCAAAAAGCGTCTACTACCATTTGAGCGAAATTTACACCAGGTCCTCTCTGGTACCTGTGCATTAGAAACGTTCGACCACAGTTTTAAGGACGCGAGTGTGTACCACATTTAACTGAACTCGTATAAAAGTATCAATTACGGATCATTTCAAAGGAGGATCTTAGCATGGAAAACTCTGCTGTTATCTACGAAAGAATCCTGGGCCCTTCGAAAAGCTCAAGTGGGCCATGTTAACGGGTATCTGTAGTGATTAACATTTATTATACGATATCTAATTTCTGTCATGATCATTAGTCAATCTGTTTAATTTCTGTTTGCTTATACAGTTGTTCGTCAATGTTTATAATCAATCTGTATCGTGCTATGGTTGTGGCGGCATTATTATTATTTTGAACAACATTTCGAACACAGTAGATGGGCGTGTCTCAAATACAAAAATCACGTTAAAATCTTTAACCCGTTTGACTGAAACTATGACGGCAGCTCTCTGCTATCATCACAACAACGGCTCATGACCGTACCAAGGCTAAATCATTTCTGTTTTAAAAATAAGCATTTTAAGAAGCCTTACAAAACGCAATAGACGGGTATGCGAGTAAAATTAGTGAGACATACGATAACAGGTTTCGGAGGATAAGCACATTATAGCGACCCGTACCTTTTCTGTTTGTCAACTGTTCTCAAATGAAAAGCTCGATTGTTTGTTTTTAAGTTTGGTACCGGAATAGTGAACGAGGCCAGTTTAGCCCGTCTAACATTCGAACTGCGCAAATATATTACGTCCGCCAGCGAATAAGTACAAAACCCTCGTTACATATGTTACTCAGTGTCATCATCGATCTGCTTAGTGCGCGTATGACGTAGAAACTTACCATTTGCCAAGTTGGAATTTACAACGAGATCCACTTTAGCTGCTCCTACGCCCTAAGCACCCGCCGCACGATCAACCTCCCGCAAGCTTCGTGCTGAATATATAGTCAACTACTGTTCATTGCCCTTCGATATGTAGTGTTGTCTAAGGCCGCCTACTTTGTAAAGGGCGCTGCATGCAAATTGCTGCTAGTAATGTAATATATATTTATATATTTATTTATGTGCGTTGTGTCTGGCAGAGCCGCCGTATCGTCTGCAATGCAATTTGGCCTGTGCATTACCATATACGAAAGAACTTGCGCGCGTCTACTATATTCGTCCACCGGATGGCTCTATGTAGACTGCAACTGAACAACGCTTCTGAAGAACCTGAAATATTTTCGTTCTACACCCTGCTGTTGCCGCTACTGACCAGCTCCGATGGACCAGTAATACAGTTTCATTGAGTTATGATGAAGCAGGCTAAGAGAAGAGAAAACGAAGGAACCAAGGAGGTTTGTTCTTCAGCAGAGGACGAACGCACAGCTCCTCTAAATATCATTTCGGCGACAGCCGTCCTTGTCGACACAGCTAAACCGTTTTGTTGGACGGTCGCCAGCCTCCTCTACTAGACGAAGTCGTATACATAATATAATATAGCAGAATAATAGGACCATCAAAGCGGTGTTATCTCTCTTTAAAACGTAAAAGAAAGAGAAACGGAAACAAAGAGCAAGAGTTACGTCCGCTTCGTACGCCACCGAAAGTCTTATCCGACATGACGTTTTTATTGTGTGTGGTATTATAATAGATTAGTTGTAAATTATAAACTCAGCCATTAGCCTTTGTTTTTCTTTTCTACTATGAACCCATTCTACTGTCAAGCTGGTTTCCCTCTGCATCAGCTACACTTGGTAGACATCTGATATATACCGAGGACAACCTGCTGTGAAATGCTGTCGTCAACATATATGCTTGCCTTTCTAGCGTGCTTGTTTTACCTGTGTACGTCCATTATATAAAGACGAAGTTAGGTGTCCTATTTGTAAATTCGTGTTTGTATGTTGTAAGTATTTCAAATCACGTTGGTCGCACTAGAGATCACCTCGGCAACCGTCTACACCCGATGACCCAACTGCTTGGTCTCTATATGTTTCGAGTGTTGCGTCCGGCATCGCCGTCAGGTTTTCCATCCCACGACTGGCCCCCAGCCCAAAAGAAAGTATGTCGATGCCCAGATTCGAAGCCGAAGCACAGTGCGTTCACAAGATTAGCATGCCAATACGTTGCTCATTGAGTTATCACGAACATTACGTGATTTAAAAACGGCCGCTCCTCAGTCATTTTTGACTCAGACTCGAGTTGATCTCAAACTGGCAGCGATCATTTTCTTTTGCATCTTTTAATATCGGTAGCAATTCTGGATATCCGATTCCGCAACCATGCAGTTGTGGTTCTTCTTGCAGCTCACTGGAAAGTGATATATAAAAGCGGCCTTGTTCACAGATGCCTTAAAAATAAATCCTAATTTCCTCTAGCACCTGTGTAAAGGTTCGGACGAGATGCTGGAGAAGCTGTTGTAGCCAATATCTTTACCTAAACGAGTGCCGATGGTGGTATAATGATGGCATACGCCTTTATGCAAGTACATTCATTTCTTCAAACTTGCAGGTATATCACCAAGGATGAGCTGTCTCGGATCGTGAAGGCCGTCTACGATCTGATGGGCCGAGCAGTTGAGCCGTTGGTGGAAGAACACACGACCCGCGAGCACGTGGAGCGCGTCTTCAACAGACTTGACCTCAACAAGGATGGGGTCGTCACCATCGACGAGTTTATGGACTCGTGTACCAAGGTAGATACCAAAGACGCGTTGTCTTTCTTGATTTACTTGATTTGGTACTTCATATATTAGGGTCTTGTTAATTATGTATTCTTCTATAAAACCATTATACTCAAAACGCTGTGTCCTACAGATGTCCTACGGCACCTCATTCTCCCGACACAGTGGAAAAGACCAAGCAAAATCTGACCAGCGAATACTCTGTTCTATTCCACGCTAGCAAGACGACAACGTCTTCCGTCTTAATATTATTTTCAATTTACTCTAAGCTATAATATTTCTGAGATGTACGTACTAGACTTGTGCAACGTCATGCTCATATTTGTATGCGTATATATCTACAGGGTGGCCCCAGTTGGAGAGTTTTCATTTCAGATATGCTGAATCCTTGTAATTTAATGATGTAACACATTTGCTACGGGAGCACTCTACCATTTCTCATGCCATTTCTAAATATTCTACAGGACGCTATGATATTAGTGAAGAAGGTTATTTGAACGACCATAGGGGTCACTGGTGTAGCTGCTGCATTTTAGAGATATGCTAAGGCTATGGTGTACAAAATCTCTCGGGTTGTCCATTTTCTAATTAATTACCTTGTATGTAAAAAAAAAATAGGGCTAAATGAGCCGCTGTCGTTTTCTAACAATAGAAAGTTGATTTAAAATTTTAATCCTATTAAATCTTTACGATTTGATAAATACACACGGTGCAGAAATTTAGTGCAGTTTCCGTTTCTCTAATTTTTTTGACCAGATGTTTCAAAGTGGGCTCACATGGGAGTTTTTTTGGGTTTCAGAGAAATGTTGTTGAATGATGAAGAAGTCAACTAGCTAGTTGGTTTTTCCATCATCGTTTCATCTGCCCCAAACCTAAGTTTTGAAAGGCAAACTGAAAGCAAAAAAAAGACTACCGCATTTCGACTATATGTGAGACCGGATGCCGTCGATGTTCATTTTACCCTAAAGAACTAAGTGACCCCCACAATACAACTTTACTTAGCAAGTATGCATTGATGTGTTAATTGAAACTAAGACATTTGTATTTTCAAACGCGTCGTTGTTGAACTGACATGCCCAATTGAACTCTTGAAGAAAACTTAGCCAATTTGAGTGGCATAGCACATCCTTTGGACGTGCACCACGTTGCGGATAATCACGACCATGGATTAAATCTAATATGGACAACTATGTTAGATTCATCCACAACGATGATGGTTATACAGGCTTCAGGCAGTCGTGCTGGCCACATTGCCACTGTCTCAGTGAAAGCTTTGTGGGTAACGTATTTGCCCAATAATCTTTTATTATCTAGGTCCGAATTCTCGCGGTCTAGGTTCGAATTCTCGCGTAGACACACCTTGTTTTGTACTGGGAGCCAACCGTCTGATGGAATGCCTAACGGCGATATCGAAATGTAGTGGTACATTGTTACCGTTCGTTCTCACTTTTCAAACAAACAAAAAAAAAACAACAAATTTGCTTATGAATCAGTATTTAGGCCGTTGAAAGTCTTTACGTAAGAGAAATTCACGTGACATATAATAGACGAACCATGCTTTTCGACTCGCCTAAGCGGGCAATGAATGATTACAAAGATCGTCTTTTCTAACGATAATTACAGTCCTCACTGTAAGACAAAATATTTATTTATTAGTTTTGTTCAGTAAGTCTCACTAACCTCAACAATTCTAGCAACCCATATAAATCTACTCAGCACACCTACATGGCTCTACGCAGTATGAAAAGAATAACACATTTTAATAAGCTCATTTGGACCATATATTAAAAGAGTTACAAACATACAAATTTTTTTCTAATAATAACCGTGAACAGTTCTTCTAACCTTGGTCAAATTCAGTATATAATTTTCGCAAAAACAGAGTTTCTATTAGTTGCTTGAACCATCTTCAGAAGTCATATCACGGAGGCTTGTATGCACAGCTCATAGTGCTGTTTGTCCACTACATTTCGTCCTGTGAAGCAACGCTTTTAGACAGAACACCCTAGGCAAAGTAAGCGTATGCCAGTCAGATGGCCGTTTTACCGGAAATGCCGCCACCCCTTCGAAGTACCTCAACGGCTTCTATAGCCATTCCTGTGGCACATGGCTGCCATTGCGAGAGGTCAGTTCACCCTTTCCGTAGTAGAGAAGAGCAGACGAAATGAGCTGACTGAGCCCACGGTCGAGAAATTTCTACACGAAGTTTGACATATGAGACCCATTGTCCTGCCACTGCCTGTGCCCAACTAAGGCCTTTACAAAGATATAGAGCGATAAGAAGAGAGAGGGCGCTGACAACGAAAATGGCGCCGAGCGACTACAGACCTAAGGGACTCTAACAGCCGCTGGACAATGCGCCACAATGGCTCGTTTAACATCAGAAAAACATTCAACAAATACACATTTAGACCATCGACCTTGTACTATGCACCTTACTAATAGAAGCGAATCTACGATCACTAAATGCAGTATCACTACTTTATTTTAAGATATTATTAACATCGCTTACATTACATAAAGGACACAAAGTAGAAACTGTAAGTAAACACCATGGCGGGGACGACCAAGTGCAGGAAATATTTACAGAGTTATTTTCTACCATCATAGCAGGCAGGGAATTGACATTGGGTTATCACGAGATTAGCAAAGGCTATATGTAATACGTGCAACCTATCGTCTCTATATACGTGTGTTTGTATTGCGTATACATCCGAATGTGTTCGATAAATGTAACGATTAAATATACGCACTCGGATAGATGTAACGCGTCTCACGTATGCAAAATAGAAATAGTTATCTAGTATATCTATGAATACGTTGGGGTTTGCTACAGTCCGAACGCCACTTAGAATGGCAGACGTCATCTTTTAATGGAGCTTCATTTATAGGAGCCGCGCAGTATCGGTGATTGCGTTGTGTTCATTTAAAATATTAATCGACGCTTATTGTTATAGGGCTGCCGCCGACGTTTCTGGAAATGATAGCACCATCCATCTTCCCTTCATTATCCTGTACCTGCTTCCACCGCAGCTAGCGATGGTAATAATGCTTGGAAGATTAAGCAACTAACGATTGTATTAATGATAAAGCACAAATAATCTTACTTCCGCAGTAACTTCGGCTTGAGTCGAGCTAAATTAAGGGATGCACGTTCGGCTACTTGCTCCTCCCTATCTGTCGACTACGTATGACGATTGCACACACGAAGTAAGCGTGATTGCGACACCCAGACCCCTCGAAGTTCCTCTCGGCCCCAGTTGTACGCAGTAACATGCTATGGTTCTTAATGGAGAAGGTATATTACATACTTATATATACCGACTTCGTTTGACAAGTCTTTCAATTTCAAGTGGAACTAATTTTCTCCTAGACGGTCTTAATCCAATGCCTCCTCTATCTATATATATATACACGACTGTTGTGCACAGTAAATGCTCATCTTAATTCTAGCATGAATACTTTCAAGTATAATCTCCTAATCGTTCAGACTCTGTCGTTGTGCCGGTTCATTCACGTTACACATCCAATTACAGCAAAATAAATAATAAATAAATATCTACTTTAATCCAAGTGCCTCAGATTCCAAGTATGGTATTTCCTACAAACAACTGTCTATAAAGTGGTTTTAACGCTTAAACTACGAGCATCGATTTTTGTGCTACGTTAGTGCTTTAGAGTGGCTAAAGCCTGTATTCTAAGTTACATTAAGAGGAAACGCAATCTGTAGGCGTCACACTTGACACTGTCAGCCTGGGGTACACTACGGTGTTCAGGTAGCTAGGCCACGGGTAGATTTTGAAAGAACTAAGGTACACAACAGTGCTCCGTACTCTTTCTTCCTGTGTCCAAATGCCTTAATCAGCTCCCCTACGGTTCCTTTATAATGACCAGCGTATCAGGCTTTTGACTTTCGTTTCGAGCATCATCTTGAAGTAGTTGGTTGCAAACTTTCACTTGCTTTTAGAGTCAGTCATTTAATCGGCAGTCAGGTTGAAGTACTGTACGTAGAAGAGGCAGTGGTTTGAACGAATCAATGCTCCGCGATCTATACTTTACAATTAGACCGTTGCATCGGTATTGTTGTTAGAAACATTAAAACAAAGGGGGAAGCTCAACTGTTGTATCGTTTCTGTCGTCCATTTGCTTAGCGTGGATACTATATATACTGGAACAGACTCAAAGAGCAAATTCGTTGAATTACATCAACGATGAGGTTAGACTGCTGACTACCGACTAACAATCGGTTAGATGGGGGCTCACCTATACCCCACGCCTGCCTAGGCCTGAATACCTTCTATTGTAAGAATACATTCTGTAAGTCCTTTCCAGTAAGTATGTCATCATTTTGCTATATTCTTAACAACGAATAAAAAAAATGGTTCATATGATCGCATTTTTACACGCTTATCTCGTTTTGATGACGATTTTATGACAACAGTCGATATAGGAAAACTGACGACATTCGGAACTCAATTTAAACCCAAGAGCTTCCCGGGTCCGCACTGAAAAACTAAATTATATGTTCAATTTGGAAGCCGGCTCGTAAGCGTCACGAAATAGTTGGTCCAGCTGCGCTGCTGAAGTGATTCATGCTTTTAAGTTTAGAGAAAACTATCCTTCCAAATGTCGATATGATGTTGCTCTTTTATATATTTTTAATATATAAAAGATAGCGTATATAAAGTTTTAAAGAAAACTTGTTAAAGATTTGTTTTACTATATGGACCTCAGGTGGAAGCAATGCGTTACCAAATTAGTAGATTAAAAGAGGTAATCGCACGCCGAGCAACCACTTCAAGCTATTAGCATTAATGAGAACGTACCTGCCTCGTATTGACTTAGGCTAGATTTTCCAACAATTCATGTTATATCAATGTCGTTTCGGATGATGTCCCCAATCGGACAAAGTGAATAGGACGAATTCTCAACGTAATCGTAGCTGAGAGGAAAGTGGACACAGGAAAGTCTGAGGACCTTTATTTAAATGGAGGCCGCTACTGCATCAATCCGTAACGTCTACCGCTAGTTGTAATAAAATTTGAACTAATGAACTCTGCCACTAAATCGTCATACGCTCTCGGCTCCAATTAAAGCGGTTCAGCTTCTCTCGCTTGCTTGTATTTTTCACGTTAATCGATGATCTGTTAAATGTTTGTTACGAATGAGTGTGTTATTTATCGACAATTTCGAAATTGTTCCCGATGATTCTTCACCGAATATACCTTTGTTCCTCTAGTGTTCGCCTACCTTTTCTGTGAAACTATGGCAAGAGATGCATGCCTATATAACATTCGGGGACATAGCCCAAGTGAACACATAGCAACCGCATTATTATCACTACGCATACAGACGTGTATGATCAAATAACACTGGGATATTTACGCACAGCGTAGTACTTTAAAGTGGAATACCACGACCATTCGTAGCGTTACTATTTAGAGAAAGATAGAGGAAAAATTGTTTGGAAGAACGCCTAAGATTTTGCGCATCGGAAATGAAGTACAAGTACGCCTCTCGCTCAAGCCAAATCCAATATTCACCGACATTGCTACGGACCCGACTGAAACAGAATCGGACCTGACCTCAAAATGCAGAAAGTTTTATTTGCAAGAGTTCGCATGTCGTAGTCTAATCAGACCATTTGTCCTTTTCCTCTGTCTTTACAGGATGAGAACATCTCGAAGTCAATGGCAGTGTTGGATACAATCCTGTGATGTCCTGTGGTTGTTGCGAAAATGAATCCTTATAATTATTACTTAATAATATAATAGCCGTTATTATGACGTCGGTTATTATTCCCAGTAGTTACACAATGGTAAGATGAAGCTCGAGAGATGCAGCAGCAGCAGCAGCAGCAGCAGCAGCAAGGAAAATACGTACCGCAAGTAGAGTCATTACTACTACTACCACTCTCTCTCTTTCTCTCTCTCTCTATATATATACATATATATATACATATATACATACATATATATATATATATATACATATATATATATATATAATAAAAATCCTTTCTCACCCAATTCCCAGATTTAATAATAACAACGATAATACAACAGCGATAAGGTCGTTGTTTTATTGTCCTGCCAATAATTTCAGCATGAGAAGATGATCAGTGGTAATCGAGTGATTCACTAAGAATCACGATTATCTATTAAAAATGAGGATGAGCATGGTGATAATAAGGGCAAGATTGATTAACGAGTGAGTGTCCGTTGCGAATCTGTAATGGAATTGAATGTGTCTGCTAAAAATGCTGCGATTTCGTTGTACTGTTGTGTGTACACTATTATATAGTTCGTAGAATATATAATGATATTTTACTGTTATTAAATTACATGCTTGACTACTTATTTCTGGGTGGTAAAAGGTGAACCGAAAATGACGAAAGCTGTTGACTCGTGCCATAGTCGGCATTGTACACCGTCCTTATCCTTTTGTCATGACCTTTTATAGTCGGAGGACATATTTCGGCCATTGAGTCACTAATAGATCTTTATCAAATTCGAGCAGTCAAAGATTTAAATGGGACGTCTCTAGCGTCAGTTATATGAGGACCGACCGTATATGTCATCGTGGCCGCATTAAAGTCTGCGTCAGTATAAATTGAACGGTTCTAGGTTGGCCAAAGAACGAATAGACATAACATTGTCTAATCTGAGTAGTTTGGAAACTGCGCTATCGTCCATTTAGGGTGGGAATGGATCCAATTCGTGCCGCGCGCAGATGATACGAGAGGACGACTCTTCCTTCGGATTTTCTACGACAAATATATCCTTAGAGCTAATTTTTGCTAATATAGAAGCGAAATATTTCACCATTTTCCGGGAGTACGTCCAATAAAATACACTGTTCGATCACAATTTGCTTTGTTGCAATTATAACAAATAACCGAACGTTAGAACTATTCGAGTGACTGTCATCGAACAAATATTAAGGAAATATCACTAATCAATGCCAAAAGAGCGTTTTTGACACTAGCGAAAACTTAACAGAAGCATTTAGCGCCGTCTAGAATCACTAGCAGTCACAATCAGCGCGGAAGTGAGGGAGCCATCTTCTGTTAGACGCTTCAAGTTAATGAGAATGCATGAATAAGTTGATTTCTTTTTTCCTACAAATTTAGATTTGAATGAAACAAGTCCGTACAGGACCCTTCTTCTAGAACAATCCAGCCATCCTGATTATTATATTACCATCACGGTATATACATGCACCTCTTGCGCTTAGCAAAATGGCAACGTCACGATTCTTAGTTACGTTGTCAAGAAGGTATCCTACCTACAATAGAAGCAGATTCTATTCTACGAAGATATGTACCACAGTTATGTTGTTCTGCCGGCACTTCACGGCGACGGACCGCATTGTCAGAGCTCTGATCATGCGCAGCCACAGCACCGAGGTTAGTGACAGACATCCGTGTGATTTTTATATTCTTCAGCTCTGACAAGAACAATCCTGAGGATTTCAAGTGTAATCGAGTCGAAACATAGAAAGTAACAATTGTATTCACATAGCAACCGCAACAACACACTAATATAAGAAACGCATTGTATCCATTGTTGTTGTTGTTGTTGAAAAAACACACACGACCAAATAACAACAATCAGTCAGTACTAGAAGAGCAATATAGCCACATATAGATAAATGTACTCTTATGTATTTCTAATAGTTTAGGTGGCAACGCTTTATTCTACTGCTCATAAAATCAGCTGAGATTTCGTTAGCTGCTTCTGAACGAACTGTATTGGACGAGGAAACACCGCCACGGCCTTCAACGCGCCTTCAACGCGCTGAGCCACAATTCTCTTTACTGTTATTACTACTATGAGAAGCAGCCCAGTATTATTAGCACAACATTGTGACAAATTAGATAATAACCATGGAAGAAAAAAAAAATTTTAATGGTCACGACCAAAGTAGAATCGAATTGAAAAACTTCTGCCATTTGCTAATAGCGACTGCCTAAATGTAGCGTCGACAACAAAATGTAGAAGGAAGAGATTAAGTTTTCTTAGAATTTGACTCCGTTTAAGAATACGAAAACAGATACCTCAATTTTTCCTACCTTTTGGCTCTCCACCAGATAACCATGGCGACTGTCGTTGTATTAATAAAGATGGCGACGAAAAATCTTCTGTTCTACACAACGGTAGCCGAGAGCCAAACTGGAATGCTGTTACAGCAAGTCGCTCGTCACTTTTCATACACGCTCCTCCTTTTCAAACCCAACCCATCTTCACATTATACATACTACAATAATCATGATTATTATCACATAGTTCTTGTTGTTACGGTCACAGATGACTATAATTTAGTTATTGCACATAAATGTTAATGTCATTTTTCGACCGGACCACCGGCGCGTTTGACATCTGGGCCCGTTTCGTTTTACTTTATCACAAAAGCAAGAACAGGTGAGGCGAAAAAAATATATATATATGAACGTTGCTATTACCCACGTGTAGACGTCATCTAACGACCTCGCCGCTGTAACAGTTCTACCTGCCTTAAGTGATGGAGGCGTTAGCAATAATAACAACAACAACAACAACTAGCAGACCCATACAGGCTCACATAGAGATCATCAAGTTGTACTTTTTTTCATAAAACAGACACATAATGTTGTCAAAATAAAGAACTGCTCTTTCATTCTATAGAAATAGAGCAAGCATATAGTTTTATGTAGCTCGTAAAAGGTGGCGAGGATGGTGGTGGTGGTGATCTAAGAGCATGGGAAAAACTATTGTACTGGATTAACCGCTAACATTATGAGGCACGATAATCAGTGCATCGGAAGAGAAACCCTATAACATTGCTTATATTGCAGTTTGCGTTAATGATACGACTGCATACCGTACTGCATGCGCGTGCCTCTTCATGAAGCAGGAACAACCGTAAGACGAAATCGAAACTATCGATTCGTACGAGACACCACCGAAAACGACAGGGGCATGTCTTTGCACGAAGAAGAGACAAATTGTTGTTACTAGCTATCAGTATAAGTGGAACACTAAAAAAAGGACACTAACTCCTCTGTAGAAAAAAATAATAGGTTTTAGGTGACTATATAGCCAACATGGAAGAAGCAGGCAATTAATCGAGTCACAGTGGCGAAAAATAATGTAATGATTCGAATAAGGCAATGAAGCATTACGGCTTTTCGATCATGCATAGAAAAGTTTTCATCGTGGACAACGCGATCGTCTTTTGTATGTGGCTCAAAACGCTAAAAAAAAGTTTAACGTTGCTCTTACCGAAACGAGATAGAGAACAACATTTGACGATGCGTTAGGCAAATTATATCCAAAAATTTTCTGCGACCATACGACAACAAAGGAGCAAACCTTCTTGGTCATTTGATTTGGCTAGGAAAAAGCTTGCTAGGGATTAGCTTGTAGAAATCGCAATAGCTATGTAGATAAATAACAGGTTTTCAGATTCAGAGTGCTAAGTAATCCGTGAATAGATCTGACCTTTGGGACCCGCAGTAACTCCTCGGCAACACTGTTTATATGCCAGTATCTCTCACATTCATTACATGTACAGACACAGTGTTACCGGAGCTCTAACGTCAACGGCACGTTATGACCAAAACCTTACGATTGGCGCCGTCTAAATGACATCTCCTTGAACATGTTTGATTGATTTCTCTGCAATTAAACTCCCAATGAGTATAGGCTTCGTGCAGTGAGTAGATAAACATAAGACTACATCAAAGCAAATAGCTATTTTCGCAATGACTGGTGACCCGGTTCTGCTGCAAGCCGTGGCTCCAAGACCGCCATTGATGTTAGATATGATTCTAAGCTTGAATCTACCGCACTAACTATCTTCTGTCTGTCTGGACTTTATGTACAGTTTTCGTATTCTTATGTTAAGTATGCCTGCTCATTTCTCAAAGGGTCTGCACTTAAGTCCATTTGTTTACTAAACAGGGTAGTACAATAATAGAAATCTCTTTTAACTCTGATATGTCCAAGAAGCAAACAACATTCGATGCGTCTGCTTGTTTCTTGTTCTCAGCTAATAGACCTTCCCTTTTTAGCGGAACAGGCGGGTGTCAACAGATGTCAAAATAACATAGTAGCAGTAGTGTCCTCGGTTCATGACGTGAGCATGGTGAATTCCGGCGACGAACTCGTATCTGCTGCACTAGCTGTTCACCAGCACTACGAATCTAAACAAGGAGAGTTTGATGGCACATCCAGCGTAGAACAATCAGCTAGCGCTGGTTAGGCGAGAAAACGGGAAGGGAGAGAGGTCAAAAAAGCAAAGAAAATATGGAACGGGACTGGGAAAATGATTACAAGGAATAACGCAATGTATAGTAGTCGTAGGCAAAGCATTGAAAGAATAGGAATAGCTCTGAAAAATAGATACGGTTTACAATTATAATGCGCGTGCAAGTTAACTGTTTGGATCTGCGAGGGTGAAGTAAGAAAGATAGTCACAGAATATTTAATTCTTCCTGAAGCCGGCTTCCAAGAGGATGAGTTAATGAAATCTGTTTGACAAAACAATTTGTTTTGAGGATTGGCGTATGACTCATCTCGTAATTGTGATATCAATGAAAATATAATCGTACTAATATAATTAACTTCTTACTGCATTTACTCATTTTCTTAAGCAGATTAAAACAAGTTAAACTATTTTTATGCAGTGAACACAATGTTCCTCTCTGAAGCCGTGTACCCTGTACGTGCCGTCTGTGTATAACGGGTGTACCATTAAATTTCTTCCTATTTCCCAAGAAACCCAATCGGAATTCGATTCGGAGGTTCATTTACCGCCATTATAAGAAATTGTTAATTTTACAATATAACTCAATGTCTGTTCGCTGGTTAATACCTAAATCAGCTTGACCGTTGTCTTCCACTCGAGCCATAGATCCACCGAGGGCAATCCATCGCCCGTTTGCAATATATATCTATATATAAAGAGTACATGAACGCGACACT